CAAAGATCTCCACGACGATCGGTCCTGCGCTGCTCGCATCCAATTATAATTTTTATAATAATAATTAATAATATGAACATTCAAATAAATTAAAATATGCTATAATACTGTTTCCTAATGATTAGCTCTTGTTAAGTTTTATTAATTGTGCTTACATTATATCTAATTAAATAACATTACAATAATAAAAAGCATCTCAAAGAATTAGTTCACTGGATGATGGTCATTATAAATTGTTAATTGTCGATAGTTACGTTATAGATTATCCGTTACGCAAGTTCTTTTCTTGTTATCAATTATATGATCTCTGATGATATTACTTGTTTTTCAAATTATAATCATGCTTGATGTTTACAGTAAATAATATTGAAAAAGATACATTCGTATAATTGAATGAAACAAAAACGTAAAATCCATCGATGCGTAAAGATTTCATTAAAAATATCGTCCGAATGTGAACGGTAGCGAGTTAGAAATGGTGGGTGTAATGTAACTTTACCCTATTTGCTTGGCTCCTTTGTGGAAGGGTGCAGGCTCGGGTAACGAGCGTTACCCACTTGTAGGCACCCCTACACGACCGTACATGTTTTATTATTTACGACCTTTGCCCTTTATGTATGTTTTTAAGCTAAGATTTTATTGCTATCGTATTCATGAGATAAATCCGTTGCAATCTCCGAATGAGTGTTGTTGACTTGTCTAATTGCATCTTTATGTATGTCGTAATGTATTTAAGATATTATAGTTATTTTAAAGGTAATGTTTAATATAGTAATGAGTAAGCTAGACTTAATTTGTGTTATAATTAAAACTGTAAGTAATTTAAAAATACTTATATCCATAGAAAAATACGTCATAATCATGAAACTGTATTGTACTAAAGAAGATAGAGAAATATTTTGACATAAATTATTGCCTTTGGTCGTTTTCGTATCTTCTCGTTTTTTATTAAAATCTGTTCAGCCACTTCGTCGAGGAAAGGTAACAGACAGACAGACACATACATACATTATTTAAATTATTAACCAGGTCTTAACACGAATAATTTTATGGCAAATAAAGGTTTTTACCTCTCTCGACGTTTCGACTAGTTAATAATTTAAATATATTAAACACGAAAGTTTAAAAAGACACATACATATTTTCGTATGTATATTATTATACCATAATAGTATGTATGTTCTGTCTTCATATATATATATACATATATATGAAGACAGAAAAAGGATAGATATCAATATTACAATAAAAAAAAAAGGAAAGATGGTGTACGGTACTCTATAAATTTGTTATCCACGAGGAAATCTCTACTGGCTCAGTAGGACGACGTTCGATATTTTGCATGTTTAGTGCCTTTTGACCCTCTCAAGTACAATTTAAGTATTGGAGATATTATTCGGATATCCGATAAATTATATAGATATCTATTCATATAATAAAAGACAGGAAATAGCATTTCGGCAACGATTTCCGATGTTCAATGGATTGAAAAAATAGGTAGCATCATTTTAAGTTTATCACAAGTTTTAACAATGTTTCTCTTGTTTACAATTGTACACTTTATAAAAACGAGATATATACGATGATAATATTATTTAAGAGGTTCCGATTTCTAATCCACCGCCATCTTTATTCCATCAAGACTTATAAATAGATAGATAGAATATACTTTATTTGTAACACACAGTAAAGAAAAGGCATAAACAATATATTAAAGGACATGTATAGTTACAATAAGGCGGCCTTATTGCTGAAAGCAATCTTTTGTAGCAGCGTCGAAATATCGGGAGTTCTTAAGTAACATTATAATGATAAATATGACGTTTATATTATGTGTACAATTTTTCACAAGTTTCTACCAATATTGTGAAATTAAAATATAGTTCTAAATTAATAGTATTAATTGACTACAATAAGGAAGACATTTCATTTGTGTTTAGAAGTTTATGCTAGACAGCATTTACAGTACATTTTTGATAATTTGGTAATTCTTTTTGATGTCAATCAATGATTCTTTTTTGCAACAAATAAGATTTGTTATAATCTCTAAGAATAATTTATAAGTACTAAGGAATGGTAAAGCGACTAGAATTACTTGTAGTTTTTATTAGGTTTATTATATGTAAATCATAAGAAGTATCAAATTATTTCAATTACATATCTATATAATTGTTAATAGAAATAAATAAAATACGAGTTTTCAACAATGCACCCTTAGGAGGAGCATGATTAAACGTAAACCCATCATCCTCCTTTTCTAAATTAGAATTGGTGGTCGTACTATAATTGAAATTCAGTCATAGTAACATAATAGTTTTTCAGTTAAGTTGCTTTCTATCACTCTGCAAATTTAACTTAAAAAATTCTGAAGTATCATGTATCCCTCCCAAGTATTGCAGACAACGGCGACGATTCTGTAAGGTATCTACATAAAAAATGAGTACTGTCCAAACTACCCCCACGTTCAGTTATACCCTATCATATTTATTTTTCATACAATTACGAAAAATATCAAAAACAGCTATGAATATACCTAAATAATATATTTTTTTTTAAGAATAATTGATTAAATTTTTCCGACTATGTTTGTATCGGTTTACAAATTACGGTTACGGTTAAAATGCGTGTATTAAAATTATAACCAAATCAAAATAAATACAAATATACACTTATAAATTAGAATTAGAGTAAATTCCAGAACCAGAACAAATCTGTGCGATTTAAAACACTCTGTCATAGTTTGAAAGTACTATATATTATTCCAAAAAACATATTACAAGTATATATTATGTTTGTATAATAATATTGTCATAACTAACAAAATTATGAAACTAAGGCGAATCGCTAGTTTTTTATAAAGGGCATTGCACCACGGAAATTTCAGGCAGTGATGCTGGCAAGTTAGACATGTGAACTTTACTTCAATTTTTTTATGTAATTGGAAAGCAAAATAAAATTGACGGCCTACGTTATGGTACATGATAACTATCGCCTACATCAATGATACCACTCATTCGTTGCCATGCAGATCCAGATGAGCGAAGATATAATGCCTATTATCCTGTAATTTGGCTGTCTAATCTTGCCCAACATCCGAAACACTACATACAAAACAAGCTGATTAGCGACTGAAATAGTTGAGACTGTCATTTGTTGTTTAGAAGTAAAAAGATGATAGATAGACAGACATTGTTGTCACAAAAATAGTCTAAAAAATGTTTTATCAGCTAACATGTCTACATCTCTTTCAAGAATGATATCAAAGTAAGCGCGGTAGTTGTAAAGGGTAAATCGGAGCATCGAAGTCACCCCTTGCCGAATTAACTTAACATCCCAATCGACATATCGTTTCGTAGAACAGCCTGTTTACGATTCAGTCCCCACTGTCAAGTTATCCTAAGTACATATTACAGGGGATAAATTATCAGTTATTGGAAAAGTACAACACATCTACAATATATTGGTATTTGTTTTATTCCTTGCCTATAGACTTGCAAAATAGTATTATTGTTAACAACATAAGAACATAAATTGAAATCCTATATTTTGTTTATGGTACATAAAATTAATATTTACTATTTATAGTTTAGTCAAGTATAAACTGTAAAATGGCACGAGCCTCATTGATTCAAGTGGCATTAAATTGTTTTTAATTTAATTAATAGATTCTTATATATTATATATAATAATATGTTTATATTTACCATATACTAGCTGGGCTGACCCTTTCTACTTTTTTGTTTTTAACCGTTTGGAATAAATAAACACAAAAATTTAAGTGAAGCTTATTTGTTAAAACCGCACAAAGTCAAACATTAAAACATACATTATTTATTACAACCCAAAACAATGATTATATAATTGTTTTAGGTATACGATAATACAGTAGCCAAATATTGTTTCTCATATATTTTACATGTACCGACAGATATAATTTACATTTTTATTATAGCTATACTATGTAATATTACCTTATCTGTGATTATACCATGAAAAATGGAATAATATATTTACAAATTGGAAATAAGACTTGTATTAAAGACTAACCAAAAAAATAGGAGGCTGACAGGTGGCCTCGCCAAATCGTATAGGTGATAAACTGGCTAATATAGAAGTTAATCATAGTCAACACTTTTATGATATAATGGTGACCTTTTTTATGATATAATAAATTTTTCGATTTGGTCACGATATAATGTATGATGCGTGATATAGGATCTTCAAAGACAAAGTGTCTTCTTTTATAGAATGGCAGATAAGAATATTGTCGTTGTCACAGAGAGATCAAAGAGGGCGCCAGTTGCAGTCGACTGACAAACGAGCCGCGGTGGTTAACCAACCGTGCTTGGCAACTAGGGTGACGCATTTGTAACTTTTACTTACTTATTGTGTACAAAAACAAGTAATAAATACTAACTTTTATCACTTCAATGCAAGAATTTACTTGCCTTAGAGTATAATTATAACGACGATATATATCTGGTTTATTTAAGACAGAGCTAGTTTTTTTATGTACTTTTACTTTCTCTCGCCTGGCTATATATACCTAGCACGGTATAGAGTTTTTTTCATATCTGTATGCAATGATCAATTTCTGCATTGGCAGTATAAACTAAATTAGGTATGAACATATACATTTTTAGTTTTGTTGCTTATCTACAATTATTTGCTTGTTGTTTTTGTTGTGTATTCACGAAACTACTATATCATTTGTCTATCTAATCACACCGAGTAGAATAACATACTAGGCACTACTCTACTCGGTTCGTACGTCATTCCTAGATAAAAAACTGTCTGTATTTTAATTCAAACAATTTAATTGTTCGTTTCTTTTACAGACCAGTATAGAAGATGTCATCACAACTAGAATCAAGATCAACAAAGTTATTAACATGTAATAAATTCAGTACGGGGCGTTGTCTCACAGAAAAAGTTATGTGACGGTGTTGTAAACTATTGGAATTGTAACGCTTAAATGATAAAGTGTAAAGACTTGGACGATGCACTTATCGAGTGAAGTGAGTTCGACGACTAATGGACTGGGCCATGAGGCGCCGTCGTCGAGCTATGGTAGTGGTCTGCCGAGCCAACCACTCACCGCTGAGCTGCTTGCTGAGAGAACATTGGAAGGATTACTCGCTGACCATCCTGGGGAGTTAGTTAAGACTGGAAGTCCACATGTTGTGAGTATATTACAATATATGTTATAATCATTATGATTACAAAACTCTCACACTCGCTAGTGTCAGGAGTGGTCGAAGTAAAATTTCTTGATAAAGTAAATCATAAATAATAATTAATTTGTATGTATATCCAAATAAAATCTATGTTTTCTTCATTCTATTACATGTAACTCCATACATTTTCTTTGTTGTGTAAAATAATAGCAGAAGCAATAAACGCTAAAATTCAGTAATTACATAATCCTTACATTTATCCTTAGCAGCTGGAGTGCCACTAACATATGAAAACTGTAAAAAACAATAAACTGAAGTAAACTGTAGAAAAAATAAAATATAAAGCTCATATATTACTTACACAGTGCTTTCTATGATCGTAACAACTAAAAATTAGTTTTTAATTATTATTACCACCATTTACCAATTACCATTTTCAGGTTTGTACAGTACTGCCACCTCACTGGCGGTCGAATAAGACATTGCCGGTGGCGTTCAAAGTGGTGGCGTTGGGTGACGTCGGGGACGGCACTCTGGTGACAGTTAGGGCTGGCAACGATGAAAACTGTTCCGCGGAGCTGAGGAACTGCACGGCAGTCATGAAGAATCAAGTTGCGAAGTTCAATGATTTGAGGTTCGTGGGAAGAAGTGGAAGAGGTGAGATATTTTTGAAGTTTCTACCACTATTATTATTGTATACTCAATTATTATTTATGGGCGTCTCAATTATTTGATAAGATATTTAAGAATAATTATAGTTCAGGACATTTCACATGGCTTCAGTCTAGTTCCAAACTAAATTAAGCTTATGTTCTAGGCAGTTACAAACACCTAATAAAAGTACTTTTTTCTGTAAATATTTTTATGATTTCAAGGAACTGATGAAACGAATTTTTCTATTTAAAACTAAAGATATGTATGTATGTACTTATAAGTAATTATAAAGTCGATGACTAAATTAGGTATTATATTTTATATTTATTATAATTAAAAAATACAGATGACTAACGTAATTTCTAAAACTTAGAATGTTTTATTTAACTCACTTATGTCGTCGTTTTTGTCAATGAAACTCAAGTATCCGGTAATCCCCACTTGTCATTATTTATTATCCACTTTGACAGTATATCATGGGTTCTCGAGGAAACAAATCCAAAAAAAAGGTCGAATGATAATTCAAAAGTACACAAGAGTTCCATGGAGCAAGTCCTTAAGTTTTATTGATTTATTTTGTATTATAAATTAATGCTATATTCTTGTTAAATGTATTATATTACATTCAAGGTATATTTTGAGGGTAAGTGAAAACGGCACAATACACCATCGTAAGCTACTTAAAGATTTATCGGATAGATTTTGTATATTTGGCCTTCAACAGATCAATTACCTCCATTGACTTAATATTCCTACAAAGAGAAGACCTGCTAAAATATTCAGAAGGCAAGGCGAGTGGGGCTTTGTTTTTGAGAGCTCACTCAAGGGAGAGGGGGATTTTTTATGGGCCGATCTCTACATTATCGTAAACATTCATATATGCTTCCAGTATTATATATATGAATCTATGAAATTTTAAAACAGTTTGCATATTTTTCCTGTTTTTTATGTAGTGATAGTCTTTCAAGCGACTGGATGGTTTGAATTGAAATATGATACTGAAATAGACTACATTCTACATAGATTACAGTAATTTATGTAAGAGTACTGTAAGTTGCAGTTAATTCATAATAAAATCAAACAACTTAAGTAGCTGTAGGAGTAGGAGTAATGAGTATTTAAATGTCCAAATAACATAATGACATTAGTAAACACTGCCAACCTACCTTTTTTTCCATAACCAAACCTTACATAAACTAAAACTACTCTCTTAATAATTTCTCTGATAAATATAAATCCACACTAATATTATAAATGCAAAAGTTAGTTGGTGTACATGTTACCTTTTCATGTGGGTAAACGGCTTAACGAATCTTATTGAAATTTGACATGAAACTAGATTCTATGATTAGGACGTAGATACGTTATCTTTTATCTTAAAAGAGTAATCTGGAGGATAGTTAAAAGAATTTTTTTTATAAGAGATGAATAACGAGAGTAACTACTACTAATAATAATATTTCCTATATATAGGATCATTATCGGTTTACAATAAGTGCTCAAAACTTTTATGAAGTCAGTTGAAAAGTAAGTAATCGGCCACTAATCGTGTCATTACAGAATCATCACAAGTGCCGTCGTCGCGGCGCCGCGTATTATAGGCGGATGACCGATCAAGGCTATATCCAATATATAGTAACACTCTTAATTATAAAAAGCATGACGTCTTCTAATATATCTATTTTAAGTGTTGAGTTCTTTAGGTCTCATTCTATTTTATTATTTCCTTATTTGAGAGAATAAGATAAAACTCTTATTAGAATGGCTAGCCCATTCTAATAAGAGTTTTATCATATTCTAGTTTGAGGTTCTAGTTTTTTTTCGTGTATGGTACATGTATGTCTATAATAAATTAATTTAGACAAAATAGTCACTTTAATTGGATTAATTATTGGCTTTTTATTTTGATTTATATAAAAAAACTCTCATGTTATTTCCCTTCAATAAATGCGAAATCGTGTTTAATTGTTAGGTACGATTGATACATATTTAATTGTTATTTGAGTTATGTATATCTCTCTTCTTGATCGTTTTCTCGCTACTGAGGATCGCGACTCTACAGGATCTTGTCGACCAACTGTAGCCATCGGTTGCTGGTGTAGTGAGTAATTGAGTAATATACGAGTTGTATATATTATGTTGTATAAGTACAACAAACAACAAAGTAGTGTAAAAAATTGTATCACGAGGACGTATAAGATTTCTTTATCTAAAAATACACAGACGATGTCGCGGCTAACTACTAGTATCAAATATAAACTTAGTCACATAGATCATGGAGGTTAACTAAATCCACAAAGGTACAGATAGTCCCTAAACGATATTATAGCGGTGCGGTAAACCGAGAGCACTTATAGTACTTCGCAATTAGCTTTTAGGTCTCAAACCTGTATGTAGGTTTGAAATCGATATAAAGTCTCTTAATCCTTTTACTGGTATTTAAATAATTAGCAATTTATTTTAGTGTTTGTTTAACTTGTAGCGTAGACGCGTTCTAAACTGAAAGTATTATTAAGATTTGTAACAATTATTAATGTAACAATAATATGTATGTATGTATGTAAATAATAATGAAATTGACTTAATCGATTTTTTTAAATTAATATTTTGTTATTTATATTAATTACATTTATATTCAGATAGAATACATTATCAAATTGCGTGTCGCCTATATACATGAATGTAACTATAGATCATACATTATCTGTGGTAGCGTACTCTACCTCTGTACTCTGTATTTTATAGGTGGACTGCAATACTCATATTTGAATTAGGAACATATTATAGCTTGCATAGCTGTGGAAATAGATGAGAAATAGGTAAACACACACTTCTCTATATTATCTTTATTGTCACCTCTAGAGGATTACTGTATTAAGATATTATACATATAATTTCCCGGAAGGACTCTTGTTGTTCTATATGGAGCGAAGGCAGGTTTAGATTGAAACTTACATTCTGTTTTGTTTAACTAATTTCGATCGATTCAAATGAACAGCGAACACGTACAAACTTAAAGTTTGGGGTCGCAAACATCGGAAGAGCATCGGCGAACTGTAAACTTGCCTCGTATCTCATATTCAAATAGTGTAGGGGCTGGGATGCTTGGAACTAACGAAGCGGGCGGCGGGTGGCAACTTGTAAGAAATACAAACTTGTTCTCTATTCTAACTGGGGAGACAGGCAACTGTGTCACGTCACAGTGATGCTGTTTTCTAACATAACTGATCATAAAATTATGTGACAAGACTCTTTTTCAACGGACTTGCAATATGAAAGTTCTAGTATCTAGGTGTGTCTGGATTATTTGAACTTAGTTTCATTATGATCGCAATAAGCTATGTTTATAGTGGAATAAAATGGAAGTAATACCTAACACTAGTTTTATATTAATTACCATTAAAATATGGACTAGATATAATCACTCAGTATACATATAAAAAGTAATAATAAATTGGCTAGACGCAGTGTCGTATTTAGAGAGTCAGAACATAAACACAAGAACCGCTCATTAAAATTTACTTAAACAAACAAAAGCCTAACGCATACACAAAAAAAGTAATGTAGCCCAAAGCGGCGGGAAAGTGGAAAAGAAGTTAAGAGGTGTCTATTTGTCACGTTCCTTCCTGAATAACGCTCTGCTTTCCAATTAAGGGTAAGCGCTCTCTTTGTTTATCTTAAATTGCGAGAAAATCTCACTCAAATTATCGAGCTAAAAGACAAAGGGGAGATCGGTGCCCCGCGAACATAACTTTTGTTTCGTTCCGGAATAAAAAGTTGCCTATCTGATGTAGGGGGACGGGAGCAGGGAATTTTTAATAAGCGAAAAATTTAATGAGGGACCCGACCACTTTTTGCAAGAGGACGCCGTGTCAGCTAGTCGGGGAACGGACACCTATCACTTTGATTTTAGTAAGAATATTAATTATGCGCAGATTCATTACTTTTTTATACAGACGTCGACATAAACACGGTACAGCGATGCGCTGCGTGTACAATGCTTTGGTAAATTATTTTATTTATACATAAGTTTTACTATACGCTACTCAATTCTACTACTAAGCTACGCAATTGCTTGGGTATTTCGGTAGTGATTATTTGTCATTTCTTTGGAATACAGTACAGGGTATCAATGTTATTTCATTGAAAATTGTACTTAAATTTACATTTACATTGCTTCTGCTGACTGATTATAAATTTCAAAGAGTGGTTGAATAAAAAATGAGTATTTAAAATTTATGTTTAATTTGGATATTTTTTTGTATTTCAGAAAGAAAGCACTCTATTCAATCAATTGTGTTTTATTTCACTTAATGTTCAAAATCTACCCTGTAACATCGTAAGCTCAGACAGATATTAGAGTCCGTTAATTTCTGTTCTCGCGCTGTTCCCCTCTCCCCGCTTACCTATGACAGAAGTGACCGTACTGCGGCCATGACGCGTACGCATTATTTGTATATTAAAATTAAAACTGAGTAATACCTACTGTGAAACTGGAAAGCTAGCGAAAATATCTTCGAGATCCTGGCCTGTGATAAAAGCCCAAGAAATCCACGGAGCATACAGGTACGAGACAGACGCTTCCACATTTATATTATTTTCACATAGTATTTTCCCTAATACTTAATTAGGTAGATAGGTACACGCTTATAGCATACTGGTACTTATAATCTATACTGTAATAGAATTTGGGTTCTTAATATATGGAATAATTTATTTCAAACTATATGCGGGGATGAATTATGAAAATTGATAAACCATTAAGATGATTGTCTAATTTATTCAGTTGCTATGTTCAAATCAGTGACATATACATTTCATACATATTTGTATATGATTCATGATGAAATAAAATTTTATATTTAATTAACCATATTTATCTTAACTCGGTACATCCAGATATTCGGGATAGCCTCGTTACAGCTACCATCCAACGGTGCAATAAGAGGCCAATTTACCGCATCAGTAGTCAAGAAGCGACGTCTGCTAATCGATTGATTGAC